CTGCAATTGCAGGTTTTCAAACAGAGATGGCAACAAAGTGGCAAAACTTACGGACTGCAGCTTTAAGTGAAGTTAAAACAATCTTCACATAAACCCATTATTTACATGTGCCCTTCAGCAAGTAGGAAATATACAGAACTTGAATAAAGTTATCAAACACTACATTTTAATTTAAATAAAGATTAATCTTTAAAGCTACAAACGTTATTGTTCCTCTTTTTTTTCTTTTGTTCTTTGATTAACAGACATCACAGCAGCTGGTTATTAGCTTATTTTGGCTGCTTTAAAAGCTGCTGCTGCTGAACATGACGCGGATCTGACACGCATATCTTTACCTTTTCTCACTCACTTCAGGTCTTAAAGTCTCTACTAATGAGCAGACGAGTTGAATCGGGTGTGTTAGATGAGGTGAACTGACGACATAACTACGACATTGCATGCATGAAATGATATACAGCGCGCGCCACTGCATTTGTGCGTGCAATTGAAGAGCACATGCTATGAGTGCAGTATAACGGCTGACAGGACAGGAAAAATGGCTTTTACTGACATACGGCCTGACAACATCTCATCTGATCGCAGTTCACCGTTGTTCTACCGAAGCTCCTCATCACCTGTAGCTTTTCCACGCTCGTTTGACTCGCGCCTGCCGCTCTGCGTCTAAATAAATGCAATTCTTGTCAAGAACAAAAAAAAAAAGTGACAGAAGCAGCAGTTGTGAGTGTGGTGGCCAACCCTAGCTCCGCCCCTGCGTTAAATATTTTTAACACGTTAAACTGAAAAAACTAATTGCATGCTTTAACGTGTTAATTTTGACAGCACTACTGAAATGTTTTTTTTAATATTTTAAATTTTTAGTTAGAATAGAATAGTCAGATTTGATTCCTTTAGTGAAAGCTCACAGAAAACATGCTGCTTATACAACGTTTTCTTTATGAAGAAAGATAGTTGTGTTGATTTAATTGCGTATAATTCTCATAGCTTGTCGCTCGGTCTCTGATCGGCAGGAATCGACTCTGTCGTGCAAAGTATTACTGCAGGGAAATCGACGGACGAGAGGCGGAGCTTCATGACATGCTTGAGCGTCTGATTGGTCGAGCCCAGAAACTGACAGACTCGTCTGTGTCTCTATACTACTTCAGGTGAGGACTTCTGGGATTACTGATGCTTATTAATCTGATGTTGCAGGAAAAAAGACAAAAACATCTTTTTGTAGTATACTGTACAAACTCATTTATGTTCATTGCGTATCTGTTTATTGTGCGTTTGTGTCTTTAAATCACGTTGTTGTTGTTTTGTAGTGCTGCTCTCTATGTGCTGAAGGTGTTACGAGGCGTTGTGAGCGAACAGGACTCGGCAAACGCACCGTCAACACCGTCAGAGGTAAACTACCATCTCAAATTGACACCGTTTGCTCATTTCCAAGTACTGAGGTTGATAAAATAACTTTGTGTGTTGATCGCAGCTGAGGCTTATGGGTAAAGTAGATGTTGAGAGGGTCACGACTTGCTTCAGGAACGCGTTGACATCTTTCATGACGAAGAGGAAAAGCCCTCTCACGGGAGCCATGTTCATCGACCTCTTCAGCAGATTCCCGGTGAGTCTAAAAAACTTCAGTAGTGAATAATATCAGTAGTATGTTTAAAGATATTGAGTTGAATGATTTGGGGGGGGGTCGAATTGTAATTTAAAGAGCTCCAGGTTTGCGGCGCTTGTTTGTAGGGCTGCACACTTTGGCCAAAAAAATCTTTCTTTCTATCTTATAAAATAATAATAATAATTAGGGGTTCAAGCACGTAGTGCTGAAAAACCCTATTGTAATTGTTAGGATTTTTATTATTATTATTCTTCCCTAAAACTGATCGTGCAGCCCAAACCGTAAGGCCTAGAGAGCTGAAACTTGGTCAGGTTGTAGTAGTCCGGCCTTCTTGTCAGATCCAAAGACTCACCGCAATCGGCCAATAGGGGGCGCTACAGCGATCAAAAACGCAAAAGCCCTCATAACTCCTATACCGTTTGTCGTAGATTCCTTGGCTCAATCAAAACAAAATGGCTATCTCCGATTTCATTTCCGTCTATAAAAATTTTCCGCCATTTTGAATTTTGTCAGAAACCTACTTTTGCGAACTAGTCCTAGGTTTTTCACCCGATCGGAACCAAACCAGTGCAGAAATGTTCTTTGGACAGTAATTATTGAAATTTCAACTCACCGTCGCTTAGGGACGCAAAAACGTCTGTTTGGGACGGGGCCATTTTTACTAAAATAGCTATAACTCCTGAACGGACTGAGATATCTTCACCAAACTTGGTACACATGTGTGCAAGCTCAATCTTTGGTCAAATAAAAAAAAATTGGTGGCGCTATAAGACGAAAAAAACCTAAAAATGACTATAACTATGCAACCATTGGTCCGATCGACTTGAAAATTGGTATGCAGTGTCTTCGTCCAAAGGGGCACAAGTGTCTATGAGGACATTCGCGTATCTCAAAAAACATGGCCGCCATTGGCCAAAGAAGTTTAGGCACCTATTGGACAAGGTTAACGGAGGTCGATTGAACAACTTTGCCTCTGGGATTAATGCTGTCAATCAAATCGTTCATTAAATATTCTCAATTATGTTAAAAACCTACTTTTGCGAACTAGTCCTAGTTTTTTCGCTCAATCTCAATGAAACCACTGCAGCGCAATTCTCTGGACTCTGTAGATCAATAATTATCAAAAAAATTTGAATTTTGTCTTTTGATTAGCTATAACAGGGTCATTTATAAAAGGGGTGTGGCGACACATACCCAAAAGCCTATAAAACCTAAATGAAAACTCAAAATTTTACGAAACTTGGTGAAAACATGTGACAGAAGACACTTAACAAGCATGCGAAGTTTCATGGAGATCGGAGCATAGTTGGCGCTATAACAGTTGAAAAGGCCTCAAAAATACAATATTTGTATAGAAAATGACCTCAAATTCTAGATAATGTTCATATATTCACAAAAACACAAGATCTTCATATCGTATGATAGAACTCCTCATTCTGAACAACTTTACCTCTGGGACTAATAATGCCAATCAAATGGTTCATTAAATATTCACAAATATGTTAAAAACCTGCTTTTGCGAACTAGTCCTAGGTTTTTCGCTCAATCTCAATCAAACC